TTACCGTGTCTCCACAAGCGTCGTAAAGTTCCCTCCCCGCCCGTAAATGTCTTGTATGTGTTGGCCAGGTGGGGTGGTGGGGTGGGGCGGGGATGAGCCCAGGGTGGGGTCCCGGCCGGCCAGCCGACCACCACGACGACGGCGCCGGCGACTGACCTGACCGCACGGAGAGGGACGATCGTCCCAGACCTGCTGCGCTGCGGAGGGCGGGGCGGCCTGCTTTTATCACCTCTTCATGACTTACTTCATGACGAACGCGACGCGGGGCAGGTTTGAGACGAGCCCCTCACCCCCACCACACCCCCATCTCACAGCCCCGCGCTCACCCCCTTGGTCAGCCTTCGCCGTCCTCGCCGCTGCTGGCCACCGGCTTGCTTGTTATCATCAAGCGCTGCTGCAGCTGCCAAGGTTTTCGCGGGGAATGCCAAGCTACGGACGATAAGAAACTGACTGAAGAGCCCCCCTACTTTTCCCGTTTTAACCCCCACCCCTTTTTTAACCTCCACTGCCCCCCCCCCCACCCTCTTACCCCCTCCGTGAAAAATAATGACCAGGGTGGGTCGGGCTATCGCAGCTGGACGCCATAAATACCGGGGAGATTTATACCGGACAAACCCGTCCGCGATGATAATTCTGCATAATAATGGCGGGTAATTGTTACCATCATCTTTCCACGACGGGGAAAAAAAAGAAAATAAAGAAAATAAAAAGCTGAATAAACTATGGCGAGAATCAATTTGTGTTGTTGTTGTTGCAGCTGCACGGGCTGCGCAGGCTGATGCAGGGCGACCCCAAGCACCCCAAGGCCCCGCTCGGCAACAACTTCCGGCAGACCCAGCAGCTGCACTTCCGCCCCGTGCGGACCAACATCGACTTCAAGAACAACCCGGTGAGTGGCCGGTGGGGTGAAGCGGGGTGGGGTGGGGCAGGGTGGAGTAGGGTGGTGCACACTCTGCTGCAACGCCTCCGAGACACGAAGCGGTCTCAAAACAAGCACGGGGAGATGGAAAAGCGAAGAGTGTGTCGAACCGGGGTGCAATAACTTCCTTCACGTGAGCCGAGCTCGTATGATGAGAAATCCACGCGATTCGTGCTGCTGTCGTATCGGTTATATCGTCCTCGTCGCCGTTGTTGTTTGGCACATCGACGCCGGGTGAGCCTCTGATATTCCGTCCGTTTGTTCCAGAAGGAGGGCAAGTTCTGCGCGAGCATGTACAACAGCGTCCACTACAAGGGTAAGTATGAGGCATTGGTCGTGACTCCGCGACGCTGTTCCGCGAGTCGTTGTGTGCGGTGCGTTGCGAGGGGGTAATGGAGCCCATGGGGTGGTGGGGAATGGCACGGCGCGCAAGCCCCGGGGCCGCCGCCGCCGCCGGGGGGGCTCGCCTCGCCAAAAGTTATCCGCCTGTTACACTTCTGCTAACACTAGTGAAGTAATAAGAGAGACTCCGAGGACCTCTCTCTGGCGGGGCGTGGCGGCAGCGGTGTGGCCTGCTGGTGGGGTGGGGGAGGGGGGGGGGACAGGAGGGAGGATCAGACAACCCCTCGACCCCCCCGCACCACCATCCGAGCAGCAAGGAGAAGGAGGACGTGTTGCGGCGCCTGGCGCCCACCAGCTCGTAGGCGTCGCCGTGGCGCCTAACTTGTGCGCGCCACGCCACGCCACGCGCTCCACACTGCCACAATGAGTGCGAAAAGTAGTTTTGTGTTTCGAAAGAATAAACTAGAAAGTTTGCCGGCCTGATGGCTTTCTCTCCTTCCTGGCTCGGCCTCAACAAGCTCGCCAGCCGGTGCTGCCGCCGGGCCACCCTCCCGCTGCACCCCAAAAGACGTCTCCGTGCGCGCGAAAGAGACAGAGATTTGAATTCAAGTGTGATGAGTGATGTCGTTTCTGTTGCAGCCAACACCTGGAAGAAGCGATGATGGGGCGCTCTGGCGTCGTGAAAGGCATGTAAAACAGCTGCCCACCCCGGCGGGCGCGGCCGACCTACTGTATCACTTCCTGCCAAAACAGAAGAGAGAAGAAAAACAAACAGCTATGTTTTAATTAGAGCTACAAGCGCTGAGCGTACCCCCCGTTGTTGTCTATGTTAAAATTATTGGTTAAGAGAGAAAATGTCGCGGGGTGGAAAGGCGACGCGTAGATTTAAAAAAATTTAGTTGTAATAATTAGCTTCGGCGAACGCTTTCTACCTCGCTTGCCGTACGAGCATGACTGACAAGACACTATACTGGGCGCGCTTCGTCGAGGCCCTCTTACAAAAAAAAGGGGGCGGGTAACTTCCATCGGGAAGTTTATCAACAGTTTAAGGAGGCTATTGTGCCGGAAAACAAAACCACAAAAACGATATGTAAGCAGGAAAGTGTCGACGTTTCCTTTTCGCCCTCCAATAATACGCCCGGCCATCATGGAGCCGCTTTAGCGCAGCTGGCCAATATTCCCCTCAAAATACATATCGTCTCTTCCTAACCTGTGATGTGCACAAAAATATCTTACTTAATGTTCTAGAGAATTGTTGACTTACAAATTTTATAGAAACGTGTATACTTATTATGTGTAATAAAAACGTGTCACAAAGTTACGTTTATGGAACGCGTCAGTCAGTCCATCCCCTGCTCCTCCTTCTTCTTCTCGCACCTTTGGCGCCCTATTTTTTCGTCTCTAATTAAAATATGCCAAACGTCCGTCCGTCCGCGTGAAGGTTTATAAACGCTAAACCCGGTGGACGTGACGAGCCGCGCAGAGCAGCAGCAATATCAGGGGAGTGCGCAGAGCAGAGCGGCGCAGAGAGGTGGTCCAGCAGCCCGGGAGGGATTCGCAGCCGACTGTGCGCGGCGCGCTGTGCGGCCGACTAACAAATGACTGACGAGTTAATTAATATGTTTGCCTGGTCTGGGGGCGCGGCGGCGGCG